CGGATGACCGCCCCCCCCCCTGAGATCTCGAGAACGAAGCAAGATAGCGACAAGCGGTAAACGGCATCGGATACGCACGGCCAAGATCTACAATTTTTACTAAGGTCATTTTCAGGTCAGGTCAAAGATGACGTCACAGGGGTCGAAAAAGTCAAAATGGCGGCGCTAGATATGGAGAGAGTTTTTCTCGAATAACTTTCGAATTAGTCAAGATAGGAACAAACTAAGGGCATCATCGTGATCCTCTCGTCAATCCGCATCGAATGATATATATGTTGACCTCGAAAGGTCAAGGTCAAAGGTTGACCTCAGGTCACGTGACCTCGAGGTCATCATGTATATCATTCGATGCGTCTTGACGAGCTGAGCACAATGAGACCATCCACGCGTCTGTATCTTGTTCCTGTACGGAGTTATTGGCCAAAAACCTTTGGTGACCTTTGATGACGTCACATGACCTCACAGCTGCCCAACAGCAAAACAGACCTCAAGGTAGTGAAGGTTGATCGTATATGAAGTCATGTAAAGTAGATGGGGCCGTTCCGACCCGTTTTAGTGGTAAAAACAGGGAGTTGATTTTCCCCCATTGACTTAAAGGTAGTGTGCCACCTTTGAAAGATTTCCCATTTTATTTTTCCTAGGATAAGAAGCTTCTGTTTTTACCTAATATCGCAAAAAAAAATCAAAAATGGGCCTGGAATAGTGCCTTTTTCGCCTAAAAGTTTTTCGGTTTTTAGATATGTATAACAACTGTAGTGGGCTCACCTGCAAACAGGCGTCGGGCAACAATCGCGAATGCGGCGCACTTGTGACAATAAGCAAAGGTCATTATAGTGTTACGACCATACGACGTACGGGAATGAGTTATCAGCTGTCTAATCGTAGACAACACAATGTCGAGCCTTAAACTGTAAGCCCGTATTGGTATTGTTTCTTTTATTTGGCTGTCGAACATTATTTATGGTTTGAAATATGATTTTATGTAAAATAATTGATATGAAAAAGCCGTCTTATAAGTTATGACCCCATTTCACCACACGCAAGTGGCAGAAATGACAATGATCAGCTGACGCATTTTTCTTGGCCGAAGTCAGAGCGCGCGGCCCGACGCACCACGCGTATTTGGAAATTCCGACCTCGACGAGCATCAGAAGCCACCTAACAGGCGTGTTCGAAACCGCAGGAGCTGATGATGAACGGGTTTATCGAAACTTGATTGGATGAGCATATCGGTAATAGCGATTTCAGTGTGTGCATTTATTGTTCATAGTGGTGTGAAATGTGGTTGGGGTACGACCGACAACCCGTCGGGGCGAATTTCGCACTGGGGTACTCAAAATTTGAAGAATTTAAGACGTTTCCATGAGTTTTGAAGGTATGGATAAGTTCTAAAAATCCGGTTCTCCTTATCTGGGCCATTAACTCCATACGGTCCAAGAAAGCTGGCACACTACCTTTAAAATGGGGAGGTCGCGAAATTGACCTGACCTTAGGTCACCGATATCAAAATTCCGAGATATACAAATTGTAGCTACTAATGACCTAATAATATCCTGCGACTTTCAAAGGCCTCCGACATCTACTGTAGCTGTGGCACGGTGACAAAGTTGCAAAAAAGTGACTTGAGGTTGGGTCATTCAAAGTGACCTGGTGACCTGACCTTAAAAGGTAGGAAGCTCAAACTTGCACACCATGTGTAAAATTGATGAGGTTATAGTCATACCAAATTTCGCGGCGCTACGCGCCGCGGTTTTCCCGCTATTCGCGAAAAACCTCAGGGGGGGGCGGATATCCGCCCCCCCCGTCGGTGCGCGGGTTAATAACTTCTTATCTGTGGTATTAGCACTGTGGTCTCTGTTAGAAATCCCGCTTTACAAATTTGCGCAGTCGTTCTGTCAATTCTTTAAAAAATCACAAGTCAGAAAGCTCCATTTATTCGTTATTACCTACGCCTAGCCTAATACTGTGTCACACCTATCGTGACTACGTCCGCTAGGGTTTTACATGTTGCATGACACCTGTGCAGTAAAATAAAACTCATCCGTACTCATTTTCTCCGGCGAGAATGCGGTAACCGCTCGTTACCCCGTTCTGATGGTTCTCTGCCTGACCGCAGCGTGGCGCTGGAGTCGGACAGCACTTGTGTGGCCGCCTCGTGCCTGCTCCAGAACCGAGCCTACCGCCTGCTGGTCGACTTTGACAACCACCTGGACAACGTGTCGGCCGACTGGCGCAACCCGGAGCTCAACCACGAGATCGACGCCGTCCTGTAGCGTGTGAACGGCTATAACGCGCCGATAACAGCTAACGGCAGACGTGTCTGCGAAGACCACAGCGGCGGTAACCATGGCAACCGTTGTCATGATGACAAGCAGTGAGTCTGTACACGGAAAGTGACCTCTTAACGGAGCTGTGGGGGCAGAGAGATGTCGACATCTCGATGTGTTCTAGAGGCTATGAACTGTCTCCGATATCCATGAGGGGATGAGTGAAACTACAGAACACGTGTTGTCATACTATTTCGCTTAGGACGGATATGTTACCATTGACCATGTTAGAATGGGGCGTGCATTTTGCGCAGGTTTTGTGTTCATTCGCCCATATATGTGATTATATGTAAAGTAGTGAGTTCTTTTACGGATTCCTGAATCGAATCAATGCCAATTCGTCTGCGATGGTTTGCGTAGCTAAAATGTGAGTTTTCTTATTCAGTCCGTTCTTTGCGTATGAGTTTTGCATGGCGTCATTTGTAGCAATTGTGCTATATGCTCGTTATGTGTAAGTATTGGGTACATTATGTGTGGAATGTTATTGACGACCTAAAATCAGTCATGTTCTGAATCACCCGGTGATTGTACGGTTTGGTGAAATATAAACATCTGCGGCCATCTCCTTGGACTTTGTCAAAAGTGTCTAAGGCACTTCCTGTTGTGGGCTGGCCTGAAGGCGAGGGCTGGGGCGAGCACTGAGCAGTCTTTGCCACCGAAGAGCATCAACTCGTGAGACATCCTGATGCAACTACCGTGGAATGGCCTGTAAATACTCGTGAGGAATGCGGACTGTTGATAATTCAGTTCATCGGTCTTATGTAAGGCAGCGATCAACAATTTGCACGCGGAAATATGCAGTTGCGTACTACTGGTATGTCGAGCATCGATGTTCGTTTCCCATGTTATGATACACCCAGAATAAAGTGCGGTGCAGCTGTCACAGCGTGGCAGTAGCTCTACAGCGTCACTAGATAGTCCTTCGGTGCCCCTAATTTATCCCACCTAACAGAATCATTTTTATTTGGCAATCACACCTCTCCCAATTGCAAGCACAAGGCTTTCTTGTACCTTCGTCATCCACTGGCCATAACCGAACCGTGGCATTTCCATTCACCTAGTGTGTATGCTCACTGGTCCTGATTGTCCTCCCGATTCGCCCGCCCTGTCTCGGCCTTCGTTTTCCGCGGTCGATGGCAGTGGCGATGAGGTCTCGCCAGCGACCCGCTCTGGTCCTCCTGACGCTGGTCCTAGTGTCGGGGCACCCCACCCAGCAGCCGCCTCCCACCGCCGCACAGCAGCCACTGTCCGCTGCCGATCAGCAGCCTTCGCCCACCGCCCAGCAGCCGCCGCCCGCCGCCGCCCACCGCCGATCAGCAGCCGCCGCCGGTCTCTGAGGAGCCAGCTGACCAGCCGACGCTCCCAGCAGACTCCTACCAGCCGTCGGCAGCCGAGCAGCTGTCGGCGCTGCTGAACCCGCTGGTCGAGGGCGCCGTGTCGCGCGCCCAGTGCGGCTGGCAGCTGGGGCAGCTGGCCGGCCGGCTGGAGCGGCTGCAGGCGGGCGCCGACGCCGGACACCGGGCGCTGGCCGAGCTGACGCGACAGCAGCTGCGGCTCGACGCGGTCGTCAACGACGTGACGGCGCTCCAAATGGCAACGCTTACCGCTGAACAAAACTGCGCCAGACCGGTCACAGTCCCGGCCATGGATCCCAGCTCGAGCTCCGTAGGACTGGGAAAACCGACTCGGGTACAACACCAGAGCCGGTGCCGACTGCCGACAGACCCCGTGTCGGAGTCGGTTCGCGCTCCCTCTGAGCAGCCGACTCCTGACGGTGGAGCCATGCTGTCTGAGACACCTCTCCAAGTGACGCCAAGCACTGCTCCTGAGACGGAGCCGAGATGTGAGCCTGGCCCGTCGCCGCTCCCGGCGGAGGCTCCCGTCTACCAGGAGCCGGCGGAGCGCGCGTGCGCCCGCTCCTGCCTCCAGCTGAGAAACAGCTCGCTCGGCGTCCCCGGCGACGGCGTCTAATGGTTCACCGGGCTGCCGGTGCCGGTGCTGTGCGACTTCAGCCACGACGGCGGCGGCTGGACGCTGCTGCTGACGGCGGTCTCACAGAGCGGCTGGGATCCGCTGAGCGTCCTCGGCCGCAGAGAGCACATACATTTTTTAGCAGCAGCTATCATCAATGCATCAATGAACTTTACCTGACTGGCTTGATGCTGTTTTAGGGGAGGCGAGCGACAGTAATTGGTGGGGTACGATGGTGACTCACGTGTCCCAGAGCGCCTTTAATCACAGTGGCTGGATTCACCCGGGAACGCGGGATTCCGGTAACGTGCTCTACTGGATGAAGGAGGACGCACTGTAGATGTGACGAGTGATAACGTTCGGTGATTGGTTATTAGTTCGGCTTTTGACGTTTTAATGCATCACACAATGCTAGCGAAGCGACGACTAGCATCAGCCTGTAAACCCAATTGTTTTGAAATGTGTCCTAAAAGCAATATATTTTTTAGCAGCCGCTATCATCAAGGCATCAATGAACTTAACCTGACTGGCTTGATGCTGTTTTAGACAATTTAATGACAGTGCCTAAAAATCGATCTTGTTAGAAGCAACCCATGCTTAGGCCGTGATTTCTGCTTGGAATGAATGTGATATACCTTGCGATGTACCTATGTACCCAGCTTCTTATTCCAACTTCAAATGTTGATGACACTAACAGATGCATTCATGCGTTTTTAAACGTATATTGCAAAGTGCAGACACGAAAATACATCCCGATACGTGCGACAGACGGCCAGATCGACCAGTTCAGCCACGAGGGGAACACTGGCGCTAATCGAAGCTCCAGTAGGGTTTGGAGCTGGGCGGGTTCTCGATGAACGTGTCCTGGCAGTGCTGCGTCCTGGTCGCCGTGCCCGGGATGGTGGCCGTCTCATTGATCCAGTCGAGGAACGCACTGACCCGGGTGAACGTCTCGGGGATCACCTGGGGATCGCCGCACTCGCCGTAGCCGGCCGAGACGATGCCGACCACTCGGAAGTGGCCGTACTCCATCAGCGGGCCACCCGAGTCGCCCTGCAGAACCACAGCGGCAGTTACACACGGCGAGCAGTCATCTGCAGCAGACCTTCTGACCAGACTGCAACCCACTCGGTCCGGAGTCGGACACCGGCAGACCTCAGTTTCCCTGACATGCTGTTTATCAGGGGCGGCGGATTCGGGGGGGCAGGGGGGGCAGCTGCCCCCCCCCCTGGCAAACTCGTGGGGGGGGCAAAAGTATCTTTTTGCCCCCCCCCCCCATAATTTGTGACAAAACTTAGACAAGAAACATATACGGCCTGATTATTCTGTTCGATCATCTGAAGATGTAACCAGATGCCCATATACTTTATCATACGTTGCCTTTCATGACAAGTGTTCGCGTTCAATTGAACTTTTCCTCTCTTCAACCTAGTTTTGGAGGCATTATAAGCGTCAACGTGACGCAGCGGCAACCCAGACCTTCAGTGACCGCTTACAGGGGCGACGGACACGGAGCGGCAGAGGAGGCATCTTCCCTAAGAAACTTCGGGAGGAGGGACAAACGTATATTCTTGCCCCTCCATAATTCGTGCCCTAAACATGAGGAACATTTCCATAGCCTGATATTGCAGCTATGCGCTCCTACAGTTTGTCCAACGGTGCCTTTTGAATATGTGTAAATGCTAACCATTTCCGCTTTATACATAGCATTTTTTGTCTTTTCAGATTCGATTTAGAGATATTTTAACCCGCGCCCCGCTGGGGGGGGGGGGCAGAATCTGCCCCCCCTCCCGTTTTTCGCCAATTACTTCTAAACGCGTTACGCCAGCGACGTCAAACTTTCAGTACCTTATCATACATCAATTTGACACGTTCCCTGAAAATTTGAGCGAAATCCGTCGGAAAATTTTTGAGAAATTGACGTTTTAGTGACGTCATGTTCGCCATTTTCGCCTCAAAAACGGCAAAATTTCAAACGCCGCTAACATCTTCATTTTTAAAGGAATCAAGACGTAACAAAAAAGGTTATACGTGATTCTACTTTGTCTATCAAATGGCTATCTCGATTTTTTGAAAATTTTGGATTTTGGCCAAAATGTTTCCAAAAAACTGACTTTTTTGGGAAAATATTTATAAAATCCAAAATTTTGAGTTTATCGAAAAAAACCGGAATATATGTCAAAGAAGTGGTCTACGTGCACCTACATACCAATTTTTAGAAGAATCGGTTCAAAAATGTGGGAGTTATTCAAAATTTTATGACGTCACGACACACAAAAATTTTGAAAAATGATTTTTTTTGGAAATTCTAGACCTCGTACGGAAACAAAAATAGCACCATTCGATTCGCCGTGAAAAACTGCATCGGATAGACACCTTTTTAGACCTTAACAACCAACTTCAAAATTTGACCTCACTTGACCTGACCTTGACCTGACCTCGACCTGAAATTCATCCAGAGGTGATCCATATCACTTATTGAGTGTGCCTATTGAATTCCATGAGTAAAATGACCCATAAAACATGTGTCGCACATGCCCTTTTCTATATTTTGTTTTTGGTGACCTGACCTGACCTGACCTGACCTTGACCTTGACCTTTGAATGACATTGTGTGCAACGAATGTTGTCTTGGTAGTCTAAGAACACGTTTTGGGCAATCAGTCTCAGTCCATTCTTCGGCAACTACGGTGCAAGGCCGATACTGTAGAAACTTGCATTTTGTACCCTTGACCTGACCTTGACCTGACCTCTGACCTACTTAAGCAAAAAAAATTGGACTCTTAAGATCCGCCTTGTTGAGAGCTTTCGATTGCCGTTTTCCCCGTCTTTCTACGACCATCGGTTCGGAAGTTAGACAGGGGGGGCAGAATCTGCCCCCCCCCCCCCCCCAGCAGGGCGCGTATGGCTGAATAGCCCAGCGGGGCGCGGGTTAAGTGTGCAAGAGACGCAACTCACACCCTCAATGGTCGTTTGCCGCTATTTTGTACCTATACATGAATGCCAAATCGCAAGCGAGCGGAGACGGAAGGGCTAGCCACTCGCTTGCGGGTAGTTTAGGACTGATGAACGCTCGTAATTAGCCACTACCCTGATTTTTTTTTTCGAGCGCAACAGTTTCCAGTGCAAGTAACATGATAAACGCCGGGGTCGTACTCATTGACCACATTGACCAATGCACGGTATGACACCCAAAGGCCAGTCATCAGAGATCTGCTTTGGGCATTCGGAGGCTTGTGTGGGGCCAGTGTAAAAACTGGATGTTCACAGTTCAGTATCCGCTTTATTTCAGTATTCACTATTAAATAAGTAAAAAATAACGTTGGAAACTTTTGAGGGTTAGGACACTGATCATTAGTGGGCCCCCCTCTGGCTAAAGAATATAGAGCATCGAACACGAAAGAAAAATCTAAGGCATTTTGGAAAAATGAGTATGCCCCGCAGCGTCCGATAACTACCACCTTCCAGTGGGTCAAGCCAACGGGGTCCAAGTTTATAATGGCATTTAACGATAGCACCAACCTTGTCTCACTTTTCCTTGAAGTCTGTTCCGAATGGTTTCGGCGACAGACTGGCTGCACTGAGGTCGTTTGGTATGTGCAACTGTAATTAAAGCCACCTGAGGCGCCCTGACACCAGGCTGAAGCTGGGTTGGAAATGCTTCGTCTTTGCAGATATCACTGGCCGCTGATTCTCGAGTGCCTGAACCGGTAGATGTCTTGGCAAAATTTGGTGTGATAATTTGGACCTTACCGCAGTCAGTGCACCCTAAAGCCCTAATAAAGAACCGCCCCCCCTCCAGAGCTTCTGGATTCCCGTTCCAGTCCACCGAATTCCTTCACCATAGTCCGCTGCTCGACTCCCTCACCTCAGCCCTCCGTTCCCAGCTTGACGAGCGTTTGGGCCTTAGTTAAGTCTTGCTGTGGGCTTATCTGTAGGATAAACCCATCGAGACAGCCCGTCTCGGTGAGCTTAGTTGGCGAACTACTGCCTTGGGGTGGGTTTCTGGCGGATTGCTGTCCCAATAGGTTTAGATGCGACCGACTGTCTCTGAATGTTTGAGCGGTCTCCTCCCGCTATTAGCTAGTTTCAGTTGATATCTGTCTCAGAAATACTTTTTAAAGGAAGGTTAAACGGAAATCGAACGTAAAATGAACAGAGAAAATGGTAACGAGTTAGGGGAAGGAGGGTGAATTGCGCCACCTTAAAGAAAAACGCTAATTGTAAGAAAAACGCTGGAGATATAAGCATGCACTGGTAACCATCTCAAAGAGGAGCTCATTGGCTACGATTTAAGAGCCTCCCGATCAATAAAGAATGTTTCGTTTGCTTCTGACAGCTGCTTTTTCAGAAACATGCAAAAGGGCGCATTTGCCAACAACTGCTGTAAATTGCGCCAGGGGGATGGCGCAATTAGAACCCAATTGCGCCCTATACTTTAACATGGCTAAGTGAATGAGACGGAATGCATACAACCCAGTAGTCTAATGTCATTGCGGCTTGCTTAAACATTTATTATGTTATTCAGGCTGGATAAATAATGAATGTAGATATACATCGCGATGTTTTTTGCCCAGGTAGATAACTTGACATGTGTCCGTACGCTTGTAAAAGTGCAACGAAAACGTTTACTGTAAATGACTAGATATATGTGAACGTATGCGCCGATCCAGTTAAATTTTCACTCGTTTCTCTCAAAATTAATAATTTTTATCGTTTTGAATTTTATATGGCATCAGTTTTTACTTTTCATCATAGCTGTCACTTCTCACGCCTGAGTCCATGCTGAACATGTCGTATTTTGTCAATTACACCACAAGTCGTAGCCTAAATGGCAGCTGCATTATAAGTTTGACGATAGAAATAATTTGCGGACTGACGACAGCGGACTGCTCCCTTGCCTGACATTAAACTCCTTCTTTATTGCAATCAGTTAATGATGCATTCTGAATGGCTACACCATTATTCTATTTGCGCCCCCTGGCGCAATTGCCATGGGCGCAATTAAAATTGAGGTACTTTTTAATAAAAGCATAGAAGTTATCATAAAGATGTTGCAGGAAGTTTACGGTTTCAGTGAAATACAATGAAAAAAGGGTTTTTCTATCTAAATATCACTCTGAAAATCACACAAATATCGCAAATTTTTATAGCCAACGGTTCAAAATACTGCAAAAAAGTTAAGAAAACGCCATAACATCTTTGATGGCGTAATGAGCCTTGCTGATTGGCTTCATCGGAGTGTTTGGGCCATAAAATGAACAATCCAGTGGTGAAAATAATGTTTTCGAACACAAAATTCTAAACATGCCATTGAATCCGTGGGAATGTTGGTGGGCGCAATTGGTTAGGAGGGCGCAATACACCCACTTTCCCCTACCTCATTGAAGAATAGCGCTCGCCTACTTCAAAAGGTTCGGCACCGTTCTTCAAATCTGATTTGCGATCGGGTTATGCAAGATTACTTCACTACTCGGGTTATGGGCTATGGCACAATTTTTCCCATAGGAGTTTTTTTCTAACTCAGCAATACGAAAATCGTTATACCTATCGTCCACTGGCAGATCCAGGGAGTGGGCATATAAAGCAAATATTTACTCCCCCTCCCCTTGCATCGCCCGAAATAGACAAAACGTACATACCTTATGTTTCCTAATAATAAAACTTTTATCAGAAATTCTTTGCTTCATACTATTCAGCAGTAAGGAATCGAAATCCGAGGAGTTTTTGGATTTTGGACACTTGGGGGGGGGGGGGTATGTCCCCTACAGCGTCGAAAACGCCTTTCTGGATCCGCCTATAGACATCATCTCGGCTGGGATCTTGCCCCCCACGCCAAAATCGAATCCGCCGCCACTGCTGTTTATGCATACTTTGCAATTTAAGCTCGACACGTGTTTTTTTTTTTAACGGAATATAGCTACTGAACCAATGCCCTTGCACAACAGGGAAAACATGCTGGGACTTTCAAAAATGGCATTCAAGCTAAAGACGATGATCCATTTTATGCGTTCATGCGTCACTCACATCGCAAACGCCGTCCATCTCCTCTCTGGTGACCGCGCAAATTTTCTTTTCTTTTTCTTGGAGAGGAAAGAAATCATTGTCGACAAACTGTTTGTAGCACTCGTCTACACTGATTGCAGTCATATCCAGTTCTGCGAGAATGGCTGAGGGAAAATGATGCCACCGTTGGGTCAGTTAAGAATGCGGCTACCTTTGTAGTCTATCCTAATGGTTAGCATAGTGACATAGTCCATTGAATATAGCAACCCTCGTACATGTACTATGTACATAAAGTTAGCATGAAATATAGTAAGAACAATGTGGCTTGAACATTCAATCACAGCGCTTCCCAATCAATTGCTCACTGTAAGCTATAGTCCCAACTGATTGGAAGTTATAACTTACAGGCCCAGTCTGTCACTCACTGGAGGCATGGGTCCAGCTGACCCCTCACTGGAGGCTATGTGCTCAATCAAGTCACTCACTGGACGAGTAGCCCCATATCCAATCAGTCACTCACTGGAAGCTAGCTGAAACAGACTCCGCATTCAGGAAATCGCATGTGAGAGCCTACTCAAAAACATTCCAATTCTTCACGCATTAATCGCATGTGTGCGGGAGGTGCGTGCGAATGATGCGAGCGTGCTTCCATGTATTTGAATGGGCTCTCCCATGCGATTTCCTGACTGCGGTCTGCTGAAGGAGTCTGTTTCAGGCTATTCCCGCGCCGATAACTCACGGGCTGCGTATCCCCAGCCGGCGACGGTGACATTCTTGCCGGCCAGGTCCCCGGTAGGCCCGTGGGGCAGCGTCACCGTGCACACCACCGGAGAGAACTGGACCTCAGTCGACAGACGCAGTAGGGCTATGTCGTTAATATAGGAGCCGTTCGCCTGGAGAAGAGAGAGAGAGAGAGAGAGAGAGAGAGAGAGAGAGAGAGAGAGAGAGAGAGAGAGAGAGAGAGAGAGAGAGAGAGAGAGAGAGAGAGGGAGAGAGAGAGAGAGAGGGGGGGGGTAACGTCACGCAGAAGATATTGCTCGCTTCTATGTATTGACGTAAAACCGTCTAGTTATTACCGTTTAAACCTTATCAACCGTTTTATATCTAATTGGCACATTCCTCTTTCATTAAATATTGAGCGGAAGTTAAATATTATATCGTACACCTATTCGTCATATGCAGGGTCTCGATTTTACGCATCCGACTTCAAGAAGATTTTGTGATATCGAAAGGAGCTTCGCAAAATATGTGAGCACTGGTATCATTTGTATGCTCCCTTTATGATCGAAGACGTCATATATCCGATGAAGAAGGGGCCAAAACGTGTTGTCTTCTATGAAAGGCTCTCCGTTGTACTTACGACAAAGTCTGGGTGGTTGAAGACGCGTTCCACTTGGTAGTCGGTGTGGTTACTCTCGGCATCGGTGCCATGATTAAACTCTCCCAGACGAACGGTAAAGTTATGTCCGCTGCAACACAGACGATTACACACACCTCAGTTATTCAATTAAATTGGAGACGACATTACACGGATAGGACCGTCGAGGATGTCACCTTTGTGTGACATTAATTTAAAGCAAAATATTGCAGACTGTCAAACGATGTCATTCTCATTCGTTTGCTTTGGTATAAGTAAAAATTAATGTAGCTTTTACTGTTGACGTGGATGAATTTTACGTATACACATCAATTCAATACAATACTGTTATTTGGAGGTAACCGGTAAAGCAATTATTTGTTTGCATAAAAAAAATCATAAGGAAGTTGCCTCTCCATCGTAACAACCTGTAGTGTGAATCCCGGCTCGTGTAACGGCACTACACCTCGATCTTAGGTCTCTGGATGGTCCGGTGCGGGGGGAAGGGACATGAAGCACTCACTCCCGGAACGGTTTGTCGATCGTGCAGTGGGCAGCCGTCATCACATGGCGGGAGTCGATCAGAGACCCGCCGCACATCGGCTTGGGGAAGACGTCAGACTCGGTATGTCTGCGCAGCATAGCCTGAGAACGCAGAGAGCGCGGAATGTACCAGAGAGCGTGGAATTTACGGGTAAATACTCAAACAATCAGTTTTTCGGTAAACCCGCCACACACTTCGCGAAATTGCTTCGTGGTTGTCATCCACCTCGACCTGACTTTACAAATCATAACCTCTTTTCAGGTATAGCTTAATTGAAAGCCATCGACGCAACTTCCGCCCTCCGAGACCAATTCGCGATTCATTGTTTTAATTGGTCTACATGCAAGCCATTTACCACAGTATAGGTAAGGTACATACCTTTCTATCGACTATACCTGCTCTGTAACAGACATGTTATTATTTGTGGATGCAGCTGTCTAACTATCAATCCTGCGAGACCCTGACTCACCATCCAGGGCCATCGGGACGGCTGGGCGAAACCGGGGAACGCCGAGAAGTGGTCGGTGGCAATGCGACCACCCGAGATGTCCTGGGTCTGTCCGACACCAAAAGGGTGTCCGCCGACGGGCGACCGACGCGGCAGGAACCGGGTACCCTCCTGGGAGCCGAGAGATGTGTCATCGGTATGTAGGTATAGTTGACTACAGAACTGATGCTCCACTCGGCAGAAGCTTGACTGGACCGCTAAATTGTGCCGTTTATCACGCAATTAAGCGTATCTATGGTGAGCGTTGGGTCACAGCATCACACTGTGTCACTGAGCTCGTGTGTAGCGGCACAGCCTACCACTCCAGGCAACTGATTGCCTGTGAAAAAAGGAGCTTCATTCAGCATTCTGTATTCAACTGTACGTCTGCGGAGAATGAACTGCTTGGTAAATAACTCAGCTCACTTCCCGTGCTAAGTAGTATGAGTCTAAGGTTCCTTTTACGAGTACTTTATACGGCTACGCGTACCCATTTGTTTGTACGAATTTAGCTTACTATCTAAACAAAAGCAATAACATCATGGTTAAAATGCAAACTTGTGACTCATAATTTTAGGAATGCAAGTACAAAACATATTGCACTGCACAAAGTATTAGGTCACTTCATACTTACGACATTGGCTTGATAGCTGTGCCTTCCTGGTTTGGAGCGCTCTGGAACATTGGCGAACGGTTTATACATACTGCACGGTTATGACAACGAGAGGAGCATGGCCTTTAGGCATGATTTAATGCATTAAACGCAGTAAAGACATATGATTTATTGATGAATTACGGTCATGGTAGTGTCGATACCAAAAGGCCAAAGGGGTGTTTAACACTGGCGGATCCAGGGGGGGGCCACGGGGGCCATGGCCCCCCCCCAAAGGCCTAAAGTGGCCTGTTTGGCCCCCCCCGAAACGTAAGAAAAATTGCTAAGAAAATATACCTTGATGGAGGTTTTTAGCCACTTGGTGAAGTAAAGCTTTCCACAGCATAATATGGAAGCAATATGGTAGCAGTGAGGGTCAGTCAAAAGTTGCGCGAGTGGAGTTGACCTTCAAAAAAGACTTGTTGGCACGTGTTTATGGCGCGGTAGCTGGGAGTTGGCGGTGTTTCGCGTGGTGTGGCATCACTGGCGGATCCGGGGGGGGGGGGGCACGGGAGCCTGAGGTGCCCCTGACAGACCCGTGGTGCCCTTGGTAGGTCTGTGGTGCCCCTGGACCCTGGCAGGCCTGTGGTGCCTCTAGCGGGCCTAGGGTGCCCCTGCTAGGCTGCTGATGCCCCTGGGACCTGACAGGACTGTGGTGCCCCTGACAAGCCTAAAGTGCCCCCAACAGGCCCGTGATGCCCCCGACAGGCCCAAGGTGCCCCTGCGTGATGCCGTGATGCCTGCGAGGCCGGTGGTGCCCCTGCTAGACCGGTGGTGCCCCTGGCAGGCCTGTGGTGCCCCTGCTAGGCCGCTGGTGCCCCTGGGCCCTGACAGGACTGTGGTGCCCCTGACAGGCCCAAGGTGCCCCTGTAAGGCCTGTGGTACACCTGCTAGGCCTCTGGTGCCCCTGACAGGCCCATGGTGCCCCTGCAAGGCCGGCGGCGCCCCTGGCAGGTCTCTGGTGTCCCTGACAGACCTGGGGTGCCCCTGACAAGCCTAGCCTGTGGGGCCCCTCACAGGTCCGTGGTGCCCTTGTTAGGCCTGTGGTGCCCCTGGGCCCTGGCGGGCTGGTAGTGCCCCTGCTAGGCCGGTGGTGCCCCTGACAGGCCTGTGGTGCCCCCGGGCACCAAGGGGGGTCATGACCCATGTGGCCCCCCTTGGATCTGCCACTGGTACATATTATATTGATTTGTAATGGCGTTATGGCTTATGCAATATGCAATTGCAGGCACTTGGTATCCCTCACTTATCCCTCATTGGGGGCTCTGGCGGGCTCCTGAGGGCCCACGTCTATCTCCGGGAGCCCTAGACAGGCTCCTTTGGGTCCTTTCAGTCCACTATAGCATAAGAGGTCTCCATGCGAGTCCTATACATCTGAGGACGTACCCTGACGTCTGAGTTACTCAACTGCAGCTCCAATGGTCTCTTACACTGGCGGATCCAGGGAGGGGGCATTTAGGGCCATGCCCCCTTCCCAGAGGCCTAAAGTGGCCCGTTTGCCCCCTCCCCCAAGCGATAATGAAGCACAGTTCAATCAGTGCCTGGCCCAGGAGCCGAGTTAGACCACCTCCCGTTTTACCACCTCCCGGCCCGCAAAGGGACCCAAGCACTGACTCGAAGCGGGTTAACTGGTCGACAAAAGCAATAGTAAGTGTTTACAAAGTAATATAAAGGCATGGGTCGGGTGGGCTACCATTTATATATTTTTATTTTTAGTTAAAAAAATATTCATAGTGTCAGGGCTGTGACGAAAAATAAGTGGCCTAAATCCGATGAGAAAACAGGATTTGGGGGTACCCTAGGTTTGGCTCCTGCATGAGTTGGCCCCCCCCAAAACGCAAGTCTGGATCCGCCAGTGGTGTTTAACATTTTGAAGTTTGGTTTGACCACCTCGTTTTGAAGTGTCTGCCTCTCTAATTTCAGTTTTTCGCAATATTGTGTAAAAGTAAGGCACATGAATTTATTTATCGGCAGCAGGAGAAAGTGGAATATTTCGGCTGAGGCTAACGAACAGACACGAAAGCTCGGGCTTATTTTACCGGAAAGGGAGCCCATCATTTCTCACCGAGTGCACTTACTGATGCGGGCGGCAGAGACCGTCGGAGGTACCGCCAGCAGAGCCGCAGCTATACCAACCAGCGCCACCAGCCAGCAGAGACGGGCGCTGCCCATGACTCCCGTGTTACTGTATACAGTACGTGTGATCTGTATTCCTAGTTCACGGTGCGGAGAGGTGCCTGTTGACCGCTGGAACTGCTGCAGCCGACAACCGACCGTTCAAAGCGACCCAGACTCGTCAACTCGGCCTGGTGTGCACCCCCCCCCCCTGCCTGACCGCCTCCCCCCCCCCTTGCATCCCCTCGTCACCCCTGCGACCCTCCCCTCTCACCGAACATGGAATGGAACACGGCCGCTGATATAGGGGACTCTCCCCGGCGTGGGGGCTCGATTGCTGTAACATTGTACACCGCGAACAAGGGTCGGTCTCATCGGTCTGGTCACTGGTGCCGCTCCCATCTGTCGGTCTTTTCGTAATTTGTGGTGTGAAAATGCAAACTGAAACGGTCCCTTTATTAGAGCATAATTTGTACATGTTCCTTCAGCTGAATTTTGTAAGGAGGCATCGCACAAAACGCATTTAGCTATAAGTCGTACATAGCTTCGAGTTGTTTTTCTTCATGAACAAATTGACACTTTGTCTATGATGCTTGTGTTACGTTTACAGTGAGAAGAATATAAAGCGGCCACGACCTTATTGTAGAGTGCAACAATATAAAATCTTATCTTTAATCTTCCCGTATTGTGTAGTGCGGCACAGCATACCTTTCAGCCGAGTGTGCAGTGCGGCACAGCCTACCTTCCAGCCGAGTGAGTATTGCGGCACAGCCTACCTTCCAGCCGATTGTGTATTGCGGTACAGCCTACCTTCCAGCCGAAAGTGCATTGCGGCGCAGCCTACCTTTCAGCCGAGTGTGTATTGCGGCACAGCCTACCTTCCAGCCGAGTGAGTATTGCGGCACAGTCTACCTGTCAGCCGGTGTGCATTGCGGCACAGCCTACCTTCCAGCCGAGTGTGTATTGCGGCACAGCCTACCTTCCAGCCGAGTGTGTATTGCGGCACAGCCTACCTTCCAGCCGAGTGTGTATTGCGGCACAGCCTACCTTCCAGCCGAGTGTGCATTGCGGCACAGCATACCTTCCAGCCAAGTGTGTATTGCGGCACAGCATACCTTCCAGCCGAGTGTGTATTGCGGTACAGCCTACCTTCCAGTCGAGTGTTCATTGCGGCACAGTCTTCCTTCCAGCCGAGTGTGTATTGCGGCACAGTCTACACTGAGAAAACAGTGTCCCGATTTTCGGGCTCAGAGACCAGTTTTCGGGCTAATGTACCATATTCAAAACAGACAGCACATTTCGAGAATACTTTCTGAGCTAGCGCCACATGGGCTCATACGATCCCTTAAATCGGTATCATTGATCGCAGAAACAGAGCTCAGTCAGTACCCATTATCGGTGTCAAGCTCTAAAACTAGTCTCACTATGATACCAGTTTTCAGCCTGATCCCCATTTTCGAGCTCACCTGATTCCAGTTTGAGGGCTCAAATTGTGTGGTGAAGCCAATATTAGGGCTCACGTCATCGCTTTTCGGGGCTTTGGTAAAAGCTGGATTGCGTCAGCTGGCTGGCCAGCTGGCGACGCACGAAAGGTATTTAATTTTAGATATACCTAAGCGCGGTAGTAGGATGGACATAAATATTTCAAATGGCTTTAAATGAAAAATTGATTGGTAAATATTCATTCTTTTATATCTAGCATTGATATGTAAGAAGCTCTGCTAGCGCCACCATACGGCGCCAGCTGGCAAAAAATCCAGTTAATACCAGAGCCCGCTTTTCGTCCGATGCAGCCCCTCCTCCCCCCTCCCCCGTGTCCAGCAGCTGCGAATAAGACGAAGCCGCGGACAAACTTTTTTTTTTGCTCGGCCAGCCTAGCGCCAGTCTCGAGCGGTGGGACAGTTAACCGGCAATTTTGGCCGGGATGCAAAAGTTACGTTAAACCGGTTTATGTTAACCCGGGAGCAAATAACAACGTGGGAGCCTATCTTAGGTGTGGCAAAGCTAACGGATTACTTACTTGTTGCCGAGGTGCCCAAAGAAGGTACTGGAACCGAAAACACAACATTGGTTCATGTATTTATTAACATTCATACACACAGTCATACTTGTGCAAGGTGTCAGTGTTCGGTTGTGGGGTGTAATAGCCAGGGAAAAAGTTCTATGAACTGAAAAACCCGGCGCCTATTACTTCGCAACATGGTTGTGTATTCAACATGAACTGCAAGGAGTGCAGACGACATTGCCTGTGCTAACTTAACGTCTCACGGGCAGCGCCGCGCTCTGACACCCTGGTCCCAGAAGCAGCGGCGTTTCTGACCGCAAATCGCCGGAGAGCCGGTCGGCGCCGTTGAGGGGACTGAGCAGGCCGCTGCCAGCTCCACCTTCACGTCCGCGCGGCGCAGCTCGGTGTGCGGCGGCGGCTCATCGCGCGGGCCGCACCCGTCCGTCCGCTGCACGAGCCGCTTTTCGATCCGACAGCGCAACACCGGCACGCCATTGTGCTGGCTGAGCGGCGGCAGCGGCACGTAGGCAACAAAACAGTAGAAATCGATGGGCCTGGATCGGCGTTGCCAGCAACGCTGGCAGCGGCGCGGCGGGAGGCGCCAGTGCCGCCGTCGGGGACGTGTGCCCTTCGCTGCGCTCATTCGAGTTGGCCGGCCGGCCGCGCGGCGTAGTCCTTTTGACACGGTGCGAGAAGAGCCGGATGAAGGTGGACTTTTTATTGGCGTTGCTGGTGCTCACGCCGCCGGCGTCCAGTTTGGGCGGCAAGTCCGAGTACCAGGAGTCGGACAAGTCCCGCGCGAACGCCGCCAGCCGGTCGTCGTCACTGCTGGCGGCGGCCCGCCGACGGCGCTGCCTCAGAATCGGACGAGTCGGTGGTACTGAGCACCTCGCGGGACGGGTA